TATTTATTCTGCGTATTACCTCTTCATTTGTAATTTTATCCACCCAACTTATTTTTAGTAAACGGCGGTAGCACCACATCTCAAAGCTTTTAAGATTTTTAATATTCTTCTGTTTAAGAGTCCATGCCTCAACACCGTAAAGCAAAGTACTGAATACATAGCATTTTAACATTCTAGTTCGTAGATGAATACTAATATCACGATTACGAAATAATTTTTTCATTTTTATAAAGGTAGACCTGGCAATTTCAATACGCCTTTTTATCTCGTGATTTTGGTCACCTGTTTCATTGATGAGGGTTCCCAAGTATTTGTATTTGCTTACTGTTTCAAGTTGGTTACCGTTTATTGCGATACTAGTGTCATGTATTGGATTCTTACTGAAGGTCATATATTTGGTTTTTTTGACGTTCATCCTTATGCCGTAGTTATTACATATCTCATTCATACTTTCAACTAGATTTTCTAGATCTTCCACTGTTCTTGCCATTAATTTTTATAGTCTCGCGGTAAAAGACAAGATACTCCAATAAGTGTGTCAATAATGATATGTAAGGTATATAACTTAAAGATAAAGAAAATTCAAAGAACCAAACAATACAGAAGAAACTAAAATAACAAAAGAAAGAAGATACAATCTAAATAGCCTTGGAACATGTCAGTGTAAGAAGCCTGTACAAAAATGGATTAGATTACAAACTAAACATCAAAAACATATCTTATACATACAGAAGCATATGAAGAAATTGGACTATATAAAGCAGATAAAAATTAAGGGCCCCTATTCTAAAGCTGACCTTCTCTTATCCTTTTCTTGCTAATTATGATAAGCTTTGTCTTCATAACGTTTATATTGAGTCAATATTGTTGACTGTAATACGTGATTTTGTTCATAGGAACTTGTAGGACTTCTAAGTGGTCTGCAAATACTATGATGTCATCTGAATATCTGATGTTGTTTAACCGGTAACCATTTAGTAGAATACCTTTTTCAGTTTCGTGCAAAGCTAAGATAAATATTCTTTCAGAGTACATGGTACATATAATCAATGAGAGACTGAAAACATTCCTTCAAAGAGAAATTCCACAAGAGCAAACTGGATTTACCAAAGGCAGAGGCACTCGAGAAAACCTGCTGAATATAAGACAGATAATCAAGAAATCTAGGGAATTCAACATCCCACTATACATCTTTTTTATAGATTACCGTAAAGCGTTCGACAGGGTCAAGTGGAGACACTTATGGCGAATACTAAAAGAAGTAGGCGTACCACAACATCTAATTACGCTTATAACCGAACTATATGAACACACTACTGGATCAGTTAAAGTACTTGACACTTTCGAACGAATTTCATCCAGAACGGGGTATCAGACAAGGATGTATACTATCTCCACAATTATTCAACATATATGGGGAGTATATTATGGGAAGAGCACTTAAAGGATGGGAAAAGGGCATCTCAATAAATGGTCATAAACTAAACAACCTACGTTTCGCAGATGACACAGCCCTTCTTGCAAATAGTCAAGCAGAGCTAATAGAACTTATACGACTGATCGAAAACGAAAGTCAAATATTTGATCTGCAATTAAACATATTAAAGACAAAGATCATGATAGTGGATAGAACACACAACAATCATCCACACATAACCACAATTGACCGGTTCAAGGATGTGAGCTCATACTTATATCTGGGATCATTAATCACAAACACAGGGTCATTACAAGAAGAGATTAAACGTAGATGTGATCTAGCAAAAGTTGCCACAGCAAAAATGACCAAAATATGGAAGGACTGTCAAATTTCAAGTGCGATAAAGATGAGGTTGATCAACTGCTTAATATTCCCAATACTGACCTTCGGATGTGAATCTTGGACTCTGAGACAATCGGAGAACATGGAAAGACTCATAATACAAGGAAAGATAGAAGGCCGAAGATCACGAGGAAGATCCCCAACAAGATGGATAGATCAAATTACAGGAATATGCCAAAGACCTATCTTCTTCTTCTAGTTCCATGACCGTTATCGATCGTTGGATATCATGTTGGCTACCATATTCGCTATCGTGACTTTATTGACAGCAGCTCTAAATAACGATGTAGTTGATTTTCCATACCATTGCCTTAGATTTTTCAGCCATGATGTTCTTCTTCTACCAGGACCACGATTACCTTGGATCTTTCCCTGAATGATCAGATGTAAAAGATCATATTTTTCAGGGTGTCTCATAATATGACCGAAGTATTCCAGCTTGCGTTTCTTTATTATATTGACCAGTTGTGTTGTTTGGTTCAGCCGTCTAAGGACCTCCTCATTTCTAACTCTGTCGACCCAGCTTATTTTCAGTAGTCGTCTGTATACCCACATCTCAAAGGCTGTCAAGCGTTTAAGCATAGCCTCAGTTAGGGTCCACGCTTCTACTCCATACAGCAGGACAGGAAAGATGTAGCAAGATATCATACGAACTCTAAGGTCAATGCTAAGATCATGACTGCAAAGTACGTTTCTCATTTTTACAAAGGCAGCTCGGGCTTGTTCTATTCGGCTTTTAATTTCTGCGGTTGGATCCCAGCTCTCATTGATATTACTGCCGAGATACACGAGTTTCTCTACTCTGTCCAGTGTGGCATCTCCGACTTTTATACCGTCATCATGTATATAATTTTGTTTGCTAACTATCATATATTTAGTTTTCTTAACGTTGAGTTTTAGTCCATACTGATCACAAGTCTGTTTTATTTTGTTCATTAGATTTTGAAGGTCTTCTCCGCAATTGGCAAGGACTAAGGTATCGTCGGCATATCTAATATTGTTGACGGTTACTCCATTCACAATAATACCTTCGGTTGTCTCCATTAAGGCTTCCTTAAATATTTCCTCCGAATATAAGTTAAAAAGTAAAGGCGACAATATACAGCCTTGTCTCACTCCTCTTTTTATATTTATTTCATCCGACAGTTCTTGTTCAACCTTTATTCTTGCCACTTGATGCCAGTATAGATTTGTAATTATTCGTAGATCTTTATCGTCCAATCCAGCTGTTTCCAATATTTCTAGCATTTTGTTATGTCGGACTTTGTCAAAAGCTTTTTCAAAATCGATTGCACAAATATACACATTTTGATTTATATCTCTGCATCTCTGTACTAGCACCTGTATACTAAACAAGGCTTCTCTTGTTTGACTATGACATATGTCTAAAAGACCTATGCATGAATTAAAAGAAATTACCAGAGACAGAGATCTCTGGAGACGGACAATACACGACATCACGTCAACCACTACACTCCCCCTGGGGGTCAGGATTTAAGAGAGAGAGATTGATAAGATTAGAAATACAGCCTTGCCTCACTCCACGCATGATTTTCACATAGTCAGTGTGTTCACCTTCAACTCTGTGATTTTCTGTCCGATTCCAGTAAATAAGACTTGTACTGAAAACAAAGCCTCTCTAGTACCAACAGCATTTGTGAACCCGAACTGGTTGGGCGAAATTTGACTTTCACACAGCTTGTAGATTCTCTCTTGAATTATTTTTTGGAACAATTTTAGAAGATGATTCATGAAGCTTATAGTACGGTAATATTTGTATTTTTTTGTCTCCTGTTTTTTTTTGGACGTGTAATAAACTCAGATTTTAGCCATTCTGTTAGTATTTCTCCAGAGCTGTATATATTGTTAAATATCTTTGCGATTATTGCTATTGATTCGTTGTCCATTAGTTTGAGCAGTTCTGCTTGTATATTATCAGGGCCTGCCGCTTTATCATTCTTTAACTGTGTTATTGCGGAATAAACTTCCTGCTGTAATATTCTTGGTTCATCATTTACTTCTTCTTCTAGCTCAAAGGTGTTATCTCTTTGGTCTTCAAATAGTTTTTCTAGATATTCTTTCCACCTTCTTATTTTACTCTGTTTGTCCAAGATGATGTTTCCGTCAGAATCAGTTATATTACCTTTCTGCCTTCGTCTTAGTCTTCCTGTGAGTTCTTTAACTTTCCTATGTACATTGTGACTATCGTACTTTGACTGCAGAGTCTCAATTTCTTCGCATCTTTCCCTTGCTTCTTTTTCTTTCGCTTCTTTGATTTTCGTTCTTATTAATATTTTTACAGTTTTATGTTAGTCTGGGTCATTTTTGGCTTCTCATCTCTCGTCCACTAGTTTCAGGTTCTCATCTGTCATCCATGATTTTTTCTTTATTAATCTTTTTGTCTTTACGTGTTTATTCTTGACATTTTGCATTATTTCTCTATGTTTGATCTTTGCTCTTCGTTCGATTCGTCTCTAATTGCAGTCACTTGCTTGTTTAACGTGGCTTGGACTCTCATCCTCGTATCAAGGGCTTTCAGCATACGTAGGTCATATGATTGTGCTTTCCTTTTCTGCACTGTTTTGAGTTAGACTCAAAATACTCCCACCAGCGGAACGTGGTCTGTCTCCAAGTCTGCTCCAAGATAAGTCTTGACAAAATGTAAAGCTGTTTCGGAATCTTTTATTTACTAAAATGGAGTCTATTTGTTTCCCAATAATTCTCTCGGATCTGTCTTGAGGGCATTTCCACGTGTACAGCTTGCGAGGTGGTAATTGGAACAATGTGTTGGTCATATACTAAGAAATAAAAAATATGAGTTGTGCGATAGATTACACAAGGAAATGTCTATTGACCGACAATGTCCCTAAAGGATGAGGCAGATCAAGAAGAACAAAATGCAATAAAAAATAATGTCTATCTTATACATTGTTTAAAAATAAAATTATATTACCAACATGAAAATTTTATAACTTCTTTATTTTATTATTAAAAAATATTTTTAATACAGACAAGTTCCCTATTACCCCTGATGTTTGTATACATTTTAAATGTATATATATAAATACTTTAATGGAAAATTCAAATTAAATTTCCTTCATTTCTTTCATTGTAATATTTATATTTTAAGCTTATTTAAGTCAGTTACATGTAAAGAAACTTATATTTTATATTTCAGGTCTATTTATATTCCTTATCTTCGTATGCAAAAGGAGAAACTACGTACGATTCAAGAAGTCGAGTGCCGTTGAAAGAATAAGGAAAATATCTCTTTCGGCTTCGAGAAAGACAAGCTTAACCACTCTCGCTAATGTACAGACTGGTCTTAATATGCAATATAAATAAATATACTTCCGAATTTATTATTATTGTTGTTTTAGTAAAAAGCTCTATTTCAACTTAAAACCACTCTTAATAAATACGTTAGTTTAAATAAATAACACTAACGGCTCTACTATATATTATACTATATAAGGTCAATGGAGCCTCTAAAAATCATTGGAAAAAGTCATGTGAAAATCGTATTATACCATAATCATAGTGATAGCCATGCTATGACATTAAAAAACAGTTCTACTCAAGTCTCTTCTAGAACTGTAAACGAGTTGTAAATAAACTCTCAGGGCTGAAACCTCAGGTAATCTGTTGGTAAAACATCAGTGATAAAGCCGAGAGTTACGTACGGTTCAGTATTTTTTTGGAAAAAGACCACTTTACAATCTTGTGTCACCTCTCTTACAGGTCATCACAGGTCTTACCCCGCTGGAATCATATATTTCGGCGGTACCTTTTATGACCATCCTGATACTAATACTTGGAGACCAAATTATATATTAAATAGTCACACAAATATTTCTTCTTATTGCACCATTTTCTTTTGAAGGGTGGCGATCCAAATGGAAATTGTAATAATCTATTACCATGCACTTAACCTTTTAATATGGTTTGTAGTAATTATATCCTTCACCTCTTAAGTGGACTTAAGTATTGTATTTGCTGAGTAATTTTTTTTTCTTTACTCATGGGCCAAAGTACATAAATACACAAATATTACTGGGACGATACTTGATGAATTCATAATAAAAAATAATCTACATAAAAGATTAACATAATTATACCAGTTAAAGAACAAACAGTCATTAAAGAACATTAATATGTTTCGAAGGTAAATCTAAAGCAGCCTGTGGTACTGAATAATGAGTCTTCCAAAAATCATGTAATTACAGTCATGGACTATATATAACTCTATTTTAGGATGAAGTTTTTTATTTTGGTGGTAGGCATTGAAGAAATCCCAAATGAAGGCCCCAAACCAAAGAAAATTCAGATAGCCAAGAGGCTATTTTGTCCATAAAGAACCCAATCACCAAATAAAATTGGTGAGGATCTCCAAAAATCTTTTCGACAATCTGGCAAAATAAAATAAAATGGTTTTAAAATGGGCACTGGGTCATAAGGAGATGCACTAGAACAAATGAGCAGATTTATTGGCAATACAAAAACTCAACAGAAATCTTTATGGGCCTAGAACCATTGTGTAGTATTGTAGCTAAAAAGCTGACCATAGTAGATAATAAAAGTCTTCTCGTTCACTAATTCTTAACGAAGACCACGTTGCTTAAGTCAGGAGCTTCATTGAATATTGATTGATAAATAAGAATATAGATGATAAAAAGGACAGATTAAACATATATAGATAAACGATAGATAATTATTAGATAATAAATAATAGTTAATAATAAGTAAATAATAAGAAGTGTGACAAAGAAAAACAATAAACACGAAATACAGCTAAACTCATGAAGGAATTTAAGATAAAATAAATTAAACAAACATTTCTCTCAAAGACATAAAAAAAGATACGTTAGAAAACATATTAGTTTTCTGATATTCTAAATTATCAAAAAAATCATAAAAACTGACATATTTACTTATAAGCAGGAAAAAGATAGTTAATAAATTACTTAAAGACTTATATCGTCTCTACAAAAATAAAATAGTAAATTTTGAAAAATTGTTTATTTATTTTCAAAAATACATTAATTAACAAATAAATTAACTTTATAGTGACTTTAATAAAAAATAGATAGTGACACACATTGTGTATTTATTAATTACTTAAAAATAATAATAAACATTGTTGTCAATAATCTCCGAATAATCGAACAAATTACAGCTCTGAAATGAAAAACTCAATTGAACATAAGTTAATTTAATAATTTCTTAAAGTAGCTCAAAAATTAATCAATGAAAATATATAAAATATGAGCTATAATCTAGTAAAAAAGCGTAAAGCTTTTCATTTCTGCCTAATATATGGTACATAAAAGAATGACATATAACATTCTTTTTATCGTAGATTAAATATAGTACTTTTTGTAATGGAATTAAATAGGAATTAATAAAAAAACGGGTGTGGCAGTCCAGTGGGACTGCCGGTAGAAGTTATACTTCTATACAAGAAGTTATACTTCTATATAAAAGAATTAGTTATATAGGTATATGGTGTATCGTTTGCTGTATATATACATTTGACCTGTAATAGGAGTATAGTAAATGAAGGATTGTATCAATATCTTAATGAAAATATATATTTTTATTATTATATATGTATAAAAGGAGGTGAATGCAAAAATTTTTCTTACACATATTCTGCAGTAAAATTCATTGTTTATTATTATTATAAAAATTACAATACAATAAATACACTGCAATATAATTCAATATAATAATACAATATCAATTAAAATGTAATATTTATAAGTATTTAAAACTGCCAATATATATATATAGATATATATATATATATATATATATATATATATATATATATATATATATATATATATATATATATATATATATATATAACTTACTTCACGAAGATAAAAATAAAAAACCAACAACTCGAATTATGTTGTAAATTTTTATTTTATTTTAAAATTTAGCATTTTTGCGTATGTTACATATATTTAATAAGATTAACGTGAGGTTTTTAAATATTTAAAAAATAAAAAAGGAAATTCATAATTGGGATTCTCACTCACAACCACCAGCGTATGAACCAAACACGTAAAGGATTTGCCATTTAGATATGACACTAACGGATTTTAAAATTGACAGTTCTCGGTCAAACATTTATTATTTTGAAATACAAAAGCCTAAAATAATTATAAACTTTTAATAAATTATACAAAACATATCACATAAATAATAATATTAATACATATATATATATATATATATATATATATATATATATATATCTATATATATAATATTATATATATATATATATATATATATATATATATATATATATATATATATACAATATTATAATATATATAATTTATATAATATTAAATATATAATTATATTATACAAAAGGAACATTTTTATTCTCGAGAGAGGAAGAGAGAGAAAATATATCTTCTGTCTCTCTCTTACTTATTATCTTACATATGTAATGTTTTCACAGATTCACTCTCATGCAAATTTCCAACACCGACCGCGCGTATAGAAGTATAACTTCTGGTCAAAAATTTCTTCATACTTCGTCAGCAAATAACCAGATCTAGATAGAAAGTATATTACCCTCTTGGCATAAATTAGATAGCAAAAAAAGATCTGGGAGTGCATAGTGGCAAAAAGTGAATTGCCAGTCGGACTCTATAAATGTACTAAAAACAAGGATCTCTTAATATTTCAATTAATTAAAAACGGAGAATCTAGCAAACTGCAAGATCCACAGGGCAACATCATCACAGATAAAAATCAAAATATATGCATATAGACCAAATACATATACAAGAACTGTTTGATAATAATTGGTCCGAACAACCTTCGTTTACCTATGTAATGACCACTTATCAATCACATCAAATGAAGTGGAAAAAGCAATATCACAACTAAAAGATGGCAAAGCTCCTGGACCTGACAATGCATATGCTGAACCCATAAAGCTATTTAACACGGATGGAACTCAACTATTAACAAAAATATTCAATGACATATATTTAAATGGATTAATACCGGCTATAATCATAGCTGAAGTCAACTATAGAAACTATAACTCAATTAAAACCCTCCATATTATCATTGTTAGAGAGTACAGTTTTAATAAAAGAATTTGGGTAATTGTATCAAAATGGTAAAAGTACTATCGGAAAGGAAATTTTTTAAAAATTTAAAGTAACTATGGAAAAAAATAGTGTTTACCAGGTTCTTTCTAAAGTGGTTTAAGTATTAGCTGGGGCATTTTCCGAACAACTTAATTTAGAACCATCTATTATAGTAAATTTGAAAAATGCCCCAGTTACATCAGTTGGTGTCGAATGAAGTTTTTCTATTTACAAATATATGTATTCAAATAGAAGCCATAAGTTTTTATTAGAAAACTTTTAATATCGTTTGATAATCTGTTGTTACACAATTAAAAATAATATTTATATGTATTTATGTAATATGTATGTATGTATATGTATTTATAATATAGTAAGTATTTTTGTAATTAACAAATATTGTTTAATTTTTTTATAATATGCATATTTTCTAGATAAATATGCATATTTTGCATAAAATACTGCATATTTTTGCATAAAATACTGCATATTTTTGCATAAAATACTGCATATTTATCCGCATATTTCATAATTTTTTATTTGCATATTTTACTACACTCGGTTCACAATTTGTTGATAGCTCACTACAAGTTTAATCCTAATTAGAGAACTGAAATACAGAGAGGATAGGTAATACGATATAATAGTAAAAACCAACCTGAAACTGACGATTTAAGATGTTTTCGACTAACCCATCTTGTATCTGCCGGAATGCAATACAGCGGTCAAGCTTATAATCCGATTAGGAACGTATTTTGGCCAGTGTCGTAGAGTATATGATTGAAACATTTATTTGAACTAAATAAATATATTTTTTAAATTGTATTTTTGTTTTAATAAAACTTATAATAAAATAAAATATTTTATTCAAAAATAAAGTTTTTTGCCATTTGTAAAAGATACATTTATTTAATTAAGGCGAAAGGCACCAAATGTGTTTTAAATGTATCCATTATTTTCGAATTCGGAGAAAACTAATAAATATTTTTGAAAAATTTAAAAGCAGAATGAAAGATTACATTATTACCGAGGGTATTATATATGTGTATACTGATGTATATTACAGAAAGTCCCTGAAAACTTCTACAATGTTTATTTTATTATGTTATGCAACAGGGGTGAAAATAAAAGAGAGAATATAGTATAATTTTTAATTGAAAATATTGCATGCAAAAGAAACTTTTTATTTATTCTAATAAATATTTTATTCTGCCTTTAAATTTTTTCCAAAAAGGCTTTT